AAACAGCAACAGCTGCTGTTCTCTCAGCTGCGCACTGCGCCCTGCTGCAGCTGCTGCAGCGAAGAACAGAGGAAAGACAAGCAGAGTAAGCAGCAGCAGCAGCAGCAGCAGCAGCAAATGCGTTTGCTGCTGCTGCTCTTACTCTGTATACAGTACACTACAGCAGCGTGCGGCTGCGTCGCGGCGGCAGCGAAATACCCAAAAGTATAGCTTTATATATTTAATTTAATTAAAACAAATAAAATAATTTAATAAAAACAAAAAAACAACAAAAAAATACACATAGACAGCACACCAGCCAACGACAGACTCGACAGAGGGGGGCCCCGCGGCTGGCGGCGCAGAGCAGCTACACGGGGGCAGCAGAAAACAAGAAAAAGATAAATAAATGTATTAAATAAATATTTATATAATTCAGTTTATATTTATTAATTTTTTATTTAAACAAACAAAGAAGAAAACACCAGCCGTACGCTGCTGTAGGCGCTGCTATAGGGCCCCCCAGCAACGACCTCACCACCCCCAAGCCAGAGCACGAACGTAGGGGGGCTTTAGGGTTTAGGGTTTAGGGTTTAGGGTTTAGTGTTTAAGATTAAGCGTTTTAGGTTTAGGGTTTAGGGTTTAGGTTTGAGGGTTTAGGGCTGAGGGTTTACGGTCTAGGGTTTACGGCCCAGCTGCTTCGTGGTTATACTATCATCGGGGTGCTGCTGCAACAGCAACTGCCGTCTGCTGCTGCTGCTGCTGCTGCTGCTCTTGCTGGAGCTGCTGTTGCTGGCGTCGCTGCTGCTGCGGTTGCTGCTGCTGCTGCTGCTTGTGCTGCTGCTTCTTCTGTTGCTGCGAACGGTGGGGCCTCGTATGCATCACTGCTCTGCTGCTGTCCGCTTCGTGGCTATTGCTGCTGCCGTGCTGCAGTGTTGGTCCTCCTGCGCTGCTGCAGCATCAGCTGCTGCTATCTGCAGCAACAGCAGCAGCAACAGCAGCAGCAGCAGCAGCAGCAGCAGCAGCAGCAGCAGCAGCAGCAGCAGCAGCAGTGCGTTGTGGACTGCTCCACAATAAACCATATTGCAAATGCAGATGGTTGGCCTCATAAATGAAGGCGTATTAAAGATGTTGAGCAGCAGTCTGCTGCTGCTGCAGCTGCAGTTGCTGCTGCTGCTGCAGCTGCTGCTACAGTTGCTGCTGCTGCTGCTGACCCTCGGGCTCCCGTAACTGCCCTGCAGGGTATGCAGCAATCTAAGCTGTAGAGACACTGCAACACAAACCTACAGCAGCAGCACTGCTGCTGCTGCAGCTGTGCTGCAGCTCCACCCATTCTGTCTGCCATGTGGGTGCGATAGGAGGGTTACTGCTTCTGCTGCAGCAGCTGCAGCAACCCTGCTGCTGCAGCAACCCTGCTGCTGCAGCAACGCTGCTGCTGCAGCGACGCTGCTGCTGCAGCAACCCTGCTGCTGCAGCAACGCTGCTGCTGCGCAACGGAGACAGTATCTCTACTGGTCTCCTTGAGCAGCTTAGTGCATTGCGCTGCCCTTTACCAAGGGTTTAGGGTTTAGGGTTTAGGGTTTAGGGTTTATGCGAGAGCCCCGTCCAGCTGCAGCTGCCTGTACTTTGAGTTGGCTGACTGCAGCAGCTCCGCCCGCCTGCCCTCCTCCACAACGCGCCCGTCTTCTATGACGGCGACGCGGTCTGCCTCTCTCAGGCTCTGCACCACACACAAACCCTAAACCCTAAACCCTAAACCCTAAACCCTAAACCCTAGCAGGCGAGAAAACAGAAGGAAGAATGGAACCCTAAGCCCTTCTTTCGACGCATGAGCGCCCCACAGCAAAAACCCGAACTGTAAACCCTAAACCCTAAACCCCAGAGCGTAAACCCTAACAAACCCTAAACTCTAAACCCTAAACCCTAAACCCTATTTCTCTCACGGAGGGTTTGTGGGCGATGGTGATGACGGTGGTTTTCCCCTTCAGCCTCCTCAGTGTCTCCGCCAGCGCCGCCTCGCTCTCTGCATCGAGGCAGCTCGACGCCTCATCGAGTATTAGCAGCCGGGGCTCTCGCAGCAACGCTCTGCAGCAAAGCAAAGGCAATATACACAAACAGCTAGGGTTTAGGGTTTAGGGTTTAGAGCTTCTTAGGGTTTATGGTCTAGGGTTTACGCTGTAGTGCTTCTTTGGGTTACCGGCCTAGCAGCCCAGGCATCTATGTTGCTAGCCAGCTAGCTAGCTAGCTGGCTAACTGGCTAGCTGGTTAGCCAGCTATCTAGCTATCTGACTAGCTAGCTAGCTGGCTAGTTAGCTAGCTAGCTAGCTAGCTAGCTAGCTGTCGTGGGGTCCCACCTCGCCACAGCAATTCTCTGCTTCTGTCCGCCTGACAGACGGACAGCCCCATCACCGCAGATAGTGAATACTCCATCAGGCAGCCGCGCGATGAAAGGCAGCGCGTTTGCTGCTGCTGCTGCAGCAACAACTCGCTGCAGCAGACCAGGAGGCCAGTGTGCAGCCTGCGGGTGACTCAGCGCCCGGGCCAACTCTGCCTCATACGACCCGCTTTCATCGCTCGTGTGCTGCACCTGCTGCTGCTGCTGCTGCTGCTGCTGCTGCTGCTGCTGCTGCTGTTGGTGGTGGTGGTTGCGTGCCCTCGTGGTCTGCGCAATCCAGGCGTCGCTGGTGTGCTGCAGCGGCCTCAGGCCATAGGCGATGTTGTCGGCGATGCTGCGCCTGAACAGCAGCGGCTCCTGCTCGACGTATGCTATCTGCTGCCGCAGCAGCAGCAAGTCTGACTCACGCAGGTCCTTTCCATCCATGTACACCGCACCGCTCTGCAGACAAACAACCGCATACCCCTGCTGCTGCTGCTGCTGCTGCTGCTAACCCTGCTGCTGCTGCTGCTGCTGCTGCTGCTGCTAACGCTGTTGCCGTTACTCTTGCTGCTACTGATGCCAATACTGTTGCCGCTACTGCTGCTGCTGCTACCGTCACAGCAGTTACTGCTACTGCTGCTGCTGCTACTGCTGCTGCTGCTACTGCTGCTGCTGCTACTGCTGCTGCTGCTACTGCTGCTCCTGCTGCGTCTGCTGCGTCACCTGGGGGTCATAGAACCGCTGGGCGAGTTTCACTATGGTGGACTTGCCGGCGCCTGAGGGGCCGACGAGGGCCAGCACTTCTCCTGGTGGTACGCGCAGCGAGAACCCCTTCAGTATCTGCAGCAGCAGCAGAAGCAGCAGTAGCAGCAGCAGCAGCAGCAGGAATGCGTCTCTACTTAATCGGTGCACATGCTCCCTTTGTCCGTCTCTCGATGCAGCAAGAGCTCAATCCGCTTCGCCCCAGCAGCAGCAGCAGCAGCAGCAGCAGCAGCGAGCAGCAGCAGCAAGGGCAGCAGGTGGCAGACAGCAGCAGCACGAGCAGCAACAGCAGCCTCAACCAGCAGCAAAAGCAGCATCTCCTTCGGCGCTGCACAGCAGCACTCCTCCTCTCTCTCCTCTTACCAGGGGGCTGTTGGGGGGCCCCCCCCCTTGGCCCTGGGGGCCCCCCTCCCCTGCCGCCCCCACTTCATACGCAAATTCAACATTTTTAAACTCCACTGACGCCGGGGCTCCTCTCCCCCCTCCACTTCCCACCTCCCCCCCCTTGAGGGGCCCCTCAGGGGCCCCCTGGGGGCCCCCCTGGGCAAGTCCGTGTGCAGATAGGGGCCCCATAGAGCTTGGGGCCCCTACGGGGGCCCCGAGGGGGGCCCCTAGGGGGGCCCCTAGTGGGGCCCCTGGGGGGGCCCCTAAGGGGGCCCCTAGGGGGGCCCCTAGGGGGGCCGCTGGGGTGGTGTTGGTGGGAGTATCTATTTTGGGTGTTCTGTCTATGAGCTCGAAGTAGCGTTCTGAGGCGACGAGGGAGTAATGAAGGTCTTTATAAATATCTGTTAAGGCGTCCAGCGCCAAATAAAATTTTCTTAGATAACTCCTAAAAGACATAAAACGCCCGATCGTTAGTGCGCCCCTCACCACCGAACGCATCCCTAAACACACACACACACACACACACACACACACACATATATATA